CAGGAATGTATCACGATCAATCCATTCATTCCAGATCCTTGATGCTGTTTTAACTTCTATACCAAGCTAAAGTTGAAGACTTTCAGTCTGCTGAGCTTCTGAGATGTTTGATGAAAACCATTTTCTTAAACATTAGACGGATCTGGGAAACCATCTAAAATATTTCATGACTAAGCACCAGACTATATGCAGGCAGGAGAATGTACTTCAATAAAATGGGAGCTTTATGATAGTCATGAACACACACATAATCAACTTGTCAACTCCAAACTTTTTTGTAAGACTATTCATAAGGTTAACATTGATGTGAATTAATAATTAAAAGGTTAAGGAAATTACCTGTCCAGTCTCTTCCTCCAGCTTTTCATAGAGTTTGATGCTGTAAGAATGGATTTTCTTCAGGTTTATTCCAGGATGAAAATAAGTAGTTAAACCAGCCTCAAATAAGAAATAGGAACAACAACATAGAGATATGATTAGAAATGCAGTGTTTTCTTTCCCTCCTTCCAACTGTCATTCAAAAAGAAACTGTCAAGGTACTGTAAAGAAAAGCAACACATGGATAGAGCCAACTGCTACAAAAATAAAAATAAAATTTTTTATGGCATTCTTGTTCTCTGCACATGTGTTTCTCCACCTGCCTTTTCTCATCAAATTTGTCAGCCCATGATACTGTTGCAGTTGTTCTCTCCTATGGTTTCCTCTCTTCCTTAAATTGTTCAGTTGTCAAGTTTCAAATCTTTTGGAAGAGACACAGAAATCCATTCCTGGTCAACTAAATATCTGATTGTCCTACTAAATGTCCTGTAGTGGGATCTTTTCCTTCTTGCAAATGGAGAAGGGAGAGAAACCAAACCTTCACAAAGACCAGATCTTAAGAAAGGTTCTTACTTTCCTGGGGTGTGAGCAGCAGCGCTGTCAATGCAATATTCTACTCTCAACAGCTGTCTCATGTGGCAGTTGAAGAGCAATTGCTGCATTTCAGAAGTAGCTTAAGAAATTACTATATGTATTTTGCACATCATTTTACTAGGGCTGACTTTAGAAAGCTGTCAGACCCTTTTGGGTTCATGCAAAGGTCCAATCAATAAGTTACTACAGCCTCTTCTATATTTAAGGAAACTGTTCCCCTGCCTACAAGAGACAGCTGCATCAATCTAACAACATTCGTAACTGCAGACATATAGCACTTAAAAAAAGCAGAGTTAAAATGTAGCTGAAGTTAAGCATATGTCTTTGTACCTACTGAATTTGACATCTCACTAGAACCCTTCCTCCAAGACAGACAACGGAAATGCAAAATTACCTTAGGTTTTCAAGCTAAGTAACTATAGTGATTTAAATAC